TATTACATCTAAATATTTAACTCAGTTTATTTTTATTTTTGTTTAGTTGAAGTCCCTGAACCACTAGGGGTCCATGAGGTAATAATTGGGATATTCTGGCTATTTCAAAGGCCTTATGGAGATTGTAAATTTAACCATGCTTTGATTCATAGACTAACCAAGTTTCGTTGCTTTTGGATAGAATGACATCAATTCTGTCTGGAAATATTAGTGCCCTTAGGCTAACTAGATACTCTGATAGACCCCTAATTCTAGGTGTTTGATAAGAAGAACTTTTATGCATGCATCTATCTTACCTAATAATAGACAAACATGTAAATTGACCGTCCCTCTGCTACGCTCACCAGTCAATCAGGAAAGTATGCAAATTAACCCAACAAAGATGGCAGTTAATTTGCATACATAGGTGCAAAGTGGCGGAGCGAAGACTGAAGGCTCTGGCCGGAGCAGTGAGGGTCCCTAGGCCTAGCCTGGTCTCCGTCACATGGCCTCTGCTGCCCTGTGATGCTAAGTGAAGCTCCCCACCCCAGGATGCTTCATGATGCTCGTGGCCCCTTGCCTGCTCCGCGAGGCTTCCCCCTCCCCGTGACTGCTCCATGAAGCTTGCCGCCGCTGAATGCTGGATGCTCCACGAAACTACTCCCACCCTGCGACTGCTTCGTGAAACTCGCTGCCGCCCGGGTGACTGTTCCACTAAGCTCATGGCCACCCCATGAAGTAGCCTGCCACCGCCTCTCAAAAGTCCCCAGTCCTGCCACACTGACAGCCCCCCCTCAGGGTGAGCAGCTCAGGGGCTGAGGAGGGGGGCGAGATGTGCTCCATACACTTCATGGTGACCGGTAGCCCATTCAGTTGTGACAGCATCTAGGTCTTTATATCTATTAGGATAATATTTCATCCAAAATGTGATTAAATAAAAATTCACTGCTTGTGGGAATGCAAACTGATATAGCCACCAAGGAAAATATAAATAATTCTAAAAATATTAATTGGACAGATACATGCAAGAAAATGAAACTAGACCACCAACTTACACCATACACAAAAATAAACTCAAAATGGATAAAGGACTTAAATATACGATGGGAAACCATAAAAATACTAGAAGAATCCAAAGGCAACAAAATCTCAGACATATGCCGAAGCAATTTCTTCACCGATACAGATCCTAGGGCATTGGAAACTAAAGAGAAAATAAACAAATGGGACTACATCAAAATAAAAAGTTTCTGCACAGCAAAAGAAACCATCAACAAAACAACAAGAAAGCCCACTACATGGGAGAACATATTTGCCAACATTATATCTGATAAGGGCCTAATCTCCAACATTTATAGGGAACTCATACAACTTAACAAAAGGAAGATAAACAATCCAATCAAAAAATGGGCAAAGGACCTAAATAGACACCTTTTAAAAGAGGACATTCAGAAAGCCAAGAGACATATGAAAACATGCTCAAAGTCACTAATCATCCGAGAGATGCAAATCAAAACAACAATGAGGTACCATCTCACACCTGTCAGAATGGCTATCATCAACAAATCAACAAACGACAAGTGCTGGAGAGGATGTGGAGAAAAAGGAACACTTGTGCACTGCTGGTGGGAATGCAGACTGGTGCAGCCACTATGGAAGACAGTATGGAGTTTCCTCAAAAAACTGGAAATGGAACTCCCATTTGACCCTGTGATCCCACTTCTAGGAATATATCCCAAGAAACCAAAAACACCAATCAGAAAGGATATATGCACCCCTATGTTCATAGCAGCACAATTCACCATAGCTAAGATTTGGAAACAGCCTAAGTGCCCATCAGTAGATGAATGGATTAGAAAACTGTGGTACATCTACACGATGGAATACTATGCTGCTGTAAAAAAGAAGGAACTCTTACCATTTGCAACAGCATGGATGGAACTGGAGAGCATTATGCTAAGTGAAATAAGCCAGTCAATGAAGGAAAAATACCACATGATCTCACTCATTCATGGATAATAGAGACCATTACAAACTTTTGAACAATAATAGATACAGAGGCAGAGCTACCTCAAACAGATTGTCAAACTGCAGTGGGAAGGCCAGAGAGGGTTGGGGGGCAGAAGGGAGGGGAGTAAGAGATCAACCGAAGGACTTGTATGCATGCATATAAGCAAAACCAATGGACATAAGACACTGGGGGGTAAGGGAGGGCAGGGGATTGTCAAGGGCGGGGGGAAAAAACTGGAAATATTAGTGTCCTTAGGCTAACTAGGTACTCTGATAGACCCCTAATTCTAGGTGTTTGATAAGAAGAACTTTTATGCATGCATCTATCGTACCTAATAATAGACAAACATGTAAATTGACCATCCCTCTACTACGCTCACCAGTCAATCAGGAGAGTATGCAAATTAACCCAACAAAGATGGCAGTTAATTTGCATACATAGGTGCAAAGCGGCGGAGCGAAGACTGAAGGCTCTGGCTGGAGCAGCGAGGGTCCCTAGGCCTAGCCTGGTCTCCGTCTCATGGCCTCTGCTGCCCTATGATGCTAAGTGAAGCTCCCCACCCCAAGATGCTTCATGATGCTCGTGGCCCCTTGACTGCTCCGCGAGGCTTCCCCCTCCCCATGACTGCTCCATGAAGCTTGCCGCTGAATGCTGGATGCTCTGCGAAACTACCCCCACCTGGCGACTGCTTCGTGAAAAGCGCTGCCGCCCGGGTGACTGTTCCACTAAGCTCATGGCCACCCCATGAAGTAGCCTGCCACCGCCTCTCAAAAGTCCCCAGTCCTGCCCCACTGCCAGCCTCCCCTCATGGTGAGTGGCTCGGGGGTTGAGGAGGGGGGCGAGATGTGCTCCATACACTTCATGGTGACCGGTCGCCCATTCAGTTGTGACAGCATCTAGCTCTTTATATATATTAGTATAATATTTTGTCCAAAATGTGATTAAATAAAAATTCACTGCTTATGGGAATGCAAACTGATATAGCCACCATGGAAAATATAAATATTTCTAAAAATATTAAGAATAGAGTTACCATATGGCCCAGCAACCCCTCTTTGGAGTAAATATCCCCCAAATCTGAAAACATTTATTCGTAAAGATATATGCACCTCTATGTAGAATGCTACATTATTCATGGTGGTCAAGATGTGGAAACACCTGAAGTGTCCTTCGAGAGATGATTGGATAAAGAAGATGTGGTACATATATACAATGGAATACTACTCAGCCATAAAAAAGATGAAATACTGCTATTTATGGGACCAAATGGATGGATTTTAAGAATATCATGCTAAGCAAAATAAGTCAGAGAGAAAAAGTCAAGAACAATATGGTTTCACTCACATGTGGGATATAAAACTGAAAGTAACAAATGAACAAACAAGA